ACACCAGCAGTGTGTGTATGCTACCCCAGGCAGGGCTCTGGGACCCTGCTGCTGGCCGTCTGGTTCCACGAGCTCTACCTGTGTTTAAAAGGGGTGGCCCCCGTGAAGCTCAGTCCCCAGAGTGCAGACTGGGCTGGGCCTCCGGGGCTTTTCAAGGGTGTGGGTGCCATGCAGTGGACACCTTTTGTTATAGGCTGGGTGGCAAGAGGAGGAGGAACTAATGTGTGTGAGGGGGGGAGAAAAAAAAAGAGTAATGCTATGAGTCATTTTGCATTAGCAGCAGGAGAGGGAGACAGGGAGAGGGGGGAGTATAAAGGGAGAGAATACTTTTGCATGTTGTATGAAGCTAGACGCCATATGCCATCCGAGCTGGGCTGCCTCCTGAGTCAGGGCTCTTGGTTTGACAGGCCTGTGCTTGCCCCCTCCACACACACACAGGCACACACACACACACAGGCACACACACACACACAGGCACACACACACACACACACACACACACACACACACACACCCTCCTCCTAGGCCTTTCTACGCTCCAGCAATGGGCTTGGCAATTGCTTTGGTTGTGCACGGTCTGTTCATTTGTGTGTGAGTGTGCATTGGAAGCAAAACGGGAGGGTGTGTGTGTGGGAGGGGGGGGGGTACTCAGTGATCTGAACACATCGGACATTGTCGTGAGTCCCGGCAGGAACAGCTGGTCAGCTGGAGAGAGGGGTAGGAGGGGGCAGGGATAAGGAGGGGAAGAGATGGGGAGGCAGTGCGCTACACTGATAATGGGATTAGGTTAAAAGATTCAGAGGGGGAGTGAGGAGCCCCTGCCACCCCCCACACCCCCCATCCCATTAGTAGCCCTCCAAATAATGCATAAACTCTCAACCACCCTATCAAAGCCAACGCCAACCTCCGCCCTAACTAGCTCTGCCAACTCTTCATCCCACAACTGAACCCCAACTTCATCTCCTACCATCTCCTAAACCACAACACATAAATCCAGGTGAGTCTTAAAGAGGTGCTCTTCCACTGCTACGGTACAGAACAAATTATTTCTGCTGGTCAGCTGTTTCCAACCAACAGGAAGTGGGCTAGTTAAACTCGCATCAGCGCAGACCATTACATGAACCCGGAATATAATGACTTGCTCGGCGTCTCACTGTGCCCAGTCAAGCACTGTGTTCCATAGTGATGTAGACTGCTGAGTATTATCTATGAGACTGCTGACAGTTATGGCACAACAGCTGGCAAATTAGACCTATCAGCGATGCTAAATAATTCATGTGAGACAACACTAACATGGCAGATCCTATTCATTACACCCTATCACGCATGCAGGCGCACTTTCATCTCTGCTAGGTGGAGAACTTTACAGTATTCAAAAGAAAAGGTTGGGGTCAGACAAAGACAGGCCCAGAGTGGGACAATAACTTGCTGGGAAGTGGTGTGAGAACACGCCCGTCCGCACAGAGGCTGTAATAATTATGACTGGGGACGAAGCAGCAACACACTCAGGAGTGTGTACAGAATATCGCACACTTTGTTTTCCGTATACATTCTTTGAAACGATGTGCAATCCAGAGAGGAGCAGATATGCTCTGGTGGGGAAGAGGACAAGTCAGACTTCAGGAGCTTTCCAATGAAAAGAATCAAACCTTCCTCTTCTCTTTCTGCTACAACACACACACACACACACACACACACACACACACACACACACACACACACACACACACACACACACACACACACACACACACACACACACACACACACACACACACACACACACACACACACACACACACACACACACACACACACACACACACACACAGACACACACACACACACACACACACACACACACACACACACACACACACACACCACCTAAAAGCTTGGCTCGCATGACTGGCGATGGGCAGAAACAGATTATGGTTATTGATCGCTGCCTGGAGATGGATCAGTGTGTGTGTGTGTGCTTGTGTGTGTGCTTGTGTGTGTGTGTGTGTGTGTGTGCTTGTGTGTGGGTGTGTGTATACTTGTGTGTCAGAGAAAAGGATGGGGACTGAGGGGCAGTGTGCAAAAGCTATTGATTCTGTCCAGTAGGGAGGCTATGTCTCTGAATCAAGGTCAGTCTTGCACTGTCTCACCTATTAGCAACTTGCCATCACACAAACACACATGTACACAAAGAGAACAAGTTTTACCTTTACCAGCAGCTCCCATCATCAAAAAGTGACGGAGGGCACATCAAACTCAAGTGCTTATTGAAGAAAGAAATGAATCCCACCATCTGGAGGTGGACATTACTCCACAGTGACAGTATGAAGGATCTTCTCCTTACAGTAAACAGAATCAGACAGGAAGCTCATCCTGTGACAGTCTAGGCTCAAGAGACCCAACCAAACTCATCATTTCCTTCAAGCCATAGATTACATTTGTTCCCATCATTTTATGTTAGAAAATCACAGAATGACATCAGCTAATGCAAATAATATGTTTGAAAATAATAAAACTGTTGTTTAGTTGCAGGAAAATATCTTTTTACGTAGAACATTTTGTGGTTTGACAACACAAGAAGTGAGGAGCAAAAACAGAAGCTGCTGATAGGACGACCACAACGATGGACCAGTTGCTTTTTCTATCAGGCTACATGAATAATAAATGATCTATTTATGAGTTGTTTGTTAAAAGCTTGTGATAAGATGCTTTATGGTATGAGGTCAGTGTGTTCTGACAAAGGAACTACATCGACACTAAACGTGTCAAAGAGTGAGAGTCAGGTATATCTAGAGTCAGATTTGGGATGTAGGATATGAAAATCCAATATTTACGCTGCTGCTATATCCGATAACCGATATTTACCAGTATTATACATAACTTATATTTTGGTACATTTGACAACGATACCTCCCCCCGAAAACATACGCAAATGGCAACAAGATGGAAAATAAATGTTAATATCAGCCCATCAGACTTATACCGATATGTTAAAAAAGGACTAAAATCGGCCGATACCGATTTAACAAATCAGTGGAAGTGGAAAAAACGTAGCAGAAGCAGGACATAATGCGGAAGAATATAAGAAAAGGGGTGGGATCCATCTGAAATAAACAAAAAAAAAAACAGTGTTGCCCATCTGTGTGTAACTTTCTACAATGTTGCTGGTGGATATTTTTCAATATCAAATCCTATTAGCTTGAGAGATTCTGTGAGCGTTGCAGCAGACTGCTGGAGTCCTCTCGAGCCGTGTGACAGAGCGAGAGAGGGGGCTGCAGAGCCACACTGGCCTTTTATCTGGATACACAGGGGTCATGTAGCTTCTCTTTGAAGAAATATTCTCTAATTACCTTGGAGAGTGGTCTCACAGGCAGAGAGCGGGCGGTGGATTGTTAAGGCATTGTGAAGGGGTAAACTAAGGATGAGGATTTTCATCCAGCACAACAAAAAAATTACACACTTCCTGGGATAAAAAAAAAATAAACAAGGTGGGTCATTGTTCCAACCTGCAAAAAATGACTGGGGAGGGCAAAGTGCAGAAAGCCGGAGAAAACATCGAGCATCCTGATTTACGACACAAAACATTTTGGTTTTTCCATTTGCCACTGTCCTGATGAGCACTCTAGCCCAGCAGACATGCAGATACAGATATTGGCGAAACACTTTGCCTGGCTCACTCATTCATCTCCTCTCTTGGAGCACGCGAGGCCTGGCAGCCCGTCGGTGCCAGAGCTCCAGAGGCAGCGCTTATCTCCTCCCAGAGATCGTGCTTTTGTGATGACTGCTCGGCTCCTCTGCTGAGGAATGCCAGGTGAAGCTTTGCGGCTCAGCACAGGCCTGTTACTCGCCCCTCTCTCCAGCAACACCCTCCCCACCCCAGCCCATCTCCCTACGGCTCACACAGGCAAAGCAAGGCCCACCCCCGGCTCTGGCACTGAGAGCCACACTGGGCTAATTCACTTGGCGTTGGGTAACAGACATCTGTCACTCAGTATGCCCCAAGGGACACACAGACACAGCCCGATACCGGGGTGAGGGGGACGCAATGTGATGCATTGTGAGAGACGTACAGATGGATGCATACTTACACACAGGCCACTCGGTGTGTAGCACCACCGTTTAGTCCGTGCTGCGTGACTAAACATACTCAGCAATTCTTTTAAAACCCAGTTTGGAAAAACGTTGGAATCCCAAATCCAACGGATCCCACACTTCCTTCCAAATGATGCCTTCTTGAGGGAGGTTTCTATAGCAACCGCCAGAGGGACAGCGTGGCTCTGGTGAGGCGGTGCTGTACATGCTGTCCGAGGAGGAGCCGGGCGTTGAGGGAGATCAGGTTTCGCCCTCAAGGGGCCATCCCGATTCTGCCCCCCCACCCCCCACCACCCACCCCCAATCCACCGCCCCAACTCCATGCTGCTGGCATTCACATGCTAATTCATCTCCACTGGTAATTACACTCGCTTTAAACCAACTGACAACTACAGCTGGAGTCAGGCTCGTAACGGCACACTGTTGGAAGGGTGGAGGGATGGAAGCAAGTGTGTGTGTGTGTGTGTGTGTGTATGTGCGCACTTACATGTGTTTGCTCCTGGTGCTCTTATTTTGGCTCTCGTTTCCTTCCATAAAACGGTAGTGATAGATGATGACACATTATCGGTGCTCGAACCACAAACAGCCACACAACCTCCCATTTTTGCTTCGGGGCGTGAAACAGCCCCGGCCTAATAGTTGCATGTAAATCAGGCGGCTCATAAAGATCACTGTCAGCACTCAGCTGTGTACGTTGACTAACACGACATGCACGCCACATGTCCCAGTGAATTTAACCACAAGGCTTTTTGGCTCCTTTGAGTGATGTCTCACAACTAACCCAATCACTCTAAAAATACAAACACGCGATCTGCTCTAATTTGTAGCATTCCCAAAACGAGCGGATTTTTTTTATAGAGGGGTAGCGAAGAACACATGAAACAGCTGTTTGGACGTGTAAAGGATACAAGCTCTGGTAGAGAGTCAGCCGGGATTTGACAGCTCTGCTGGCATTTATACAAGTGGCTCGAACCAAGCTTGGCAACAGCGTCCCGGTGACAATGGCGCCATTAAACAGAGGTCCGAAGAAAGGAACCTGAAGAAAAAAAGAAACCACAGCGTAAACAAAACAGCCCGACACAAAAGTTAATTTGAGTTTGATGACAGAAGTTTAGACGAAAACACAGGGCTGATTAAAAAAATCCTCATCTTCTTCCAAACGGTTGCTCCATCTGTTTAGGGCACGGCTTCAAGTTGAAATTGAATTTCACCCAACTTTGCATGACAACTACACATATCTAATGGGAATCAATGTTAGGTAAATGAAATTAAAATGACAATCAATGCTATACAATGCCTTCATATTGAGCTGCTGAGCAAATACAAAGAAGCAATATGAATTTTAGCAACAGTGCGAGTGTGTGTGCGGGTACACGCGTCTGCTCACGCATATTGGAAGGGGCCCTTAATCACCGAAGCTCAATAGTCACTGACCTGGAAGTTGACGTGGATATCGGAGACGTTCTGAAAGGTTCTGCTGATTTTAACGTTGCAGTATAAAGAGTTTACCTCTTCAATCAGATTAAACAAACACATTTATTTCAAGATATAAATAATTAATCGCTGTGGAACAGTAAATAAAAGATGAAGGTTCTTAGAGGCAGGTGCAATTGCCTATTTCTATACATCTGAAATATATAAAAATGAGAGATGTTTTGGTAGGAGCTTCTCTTCTTTCCTGTGGCAAAAATATTATGTTTCTGCATTAGTGTTTCTGAAATTTTACGAAAATTCCCAAATTGTTCTGATCATATTGAGGTAAGCGGTCATTCCCACAATAAACGTGTAACGAAAGTAAACAAATTTGGTAAAAAATGTTCCCTAAACCTGCTGAAATTCGACTTTTAGAGTCACTAGTATGGACAAAAAAATTCTGCAGATCAGCGCATTATTTTAAGAAGATTACTAATAATAGTTTATTTATTTACTTATTTATTTTTAGATCCGAGACAAAAAAATCTGAAGTAAAAACACCACTTCTTGCTTCAATCTTTTGGATTTTGTTTATTTTTTTAATGTAACTTTTCATTTGGTGATAATTTGTATATTAAAAGATCCAAGCATAGAAGAGTATAACATCCCTTCAATAATAATAAAAGTATGCAAATCGTGTAGATGCTTGAACATCTGAAGCCAGTGGTGGCAGGCTTTAGATGTTCAGACATTTCCATGTCCTCTGGGAGGCCACACATGGAGAGCAGTGCTATGGAGTAACCAAGATGAAAGCTGGCCAACAAAGGGCAGTAACCATCTCTGAGAGTACATACCCACAGTGTGGGTAATAATGCACCACTGGAGTGGATGTGGGGAGGCTGAAAGCCTTCAGACAGAAAGATCCTATAAAATTCACCCACAAGTAAGAGAAGAAAACTGCAGCTAGGGAATACACTCACTATCAGAGACAGGAAATAAACGCAGCACCACGCTGTCTGCGTGCAGCGGGAAGTATCACCGTTTCTTCATAGCGAACAATCGAAGGAGACATAGGAGGAAACTTTTCTATTAAGCGTCTCAAAAATGAGAACCAGCCTCTTCACAGAAGAGATAAATAAAAGAATCCTTTCTACTTGGCTTAAAAGCAAAAATCTGAATAAATTACGTGTGGATTTTTATCAACAAGTCATTTTATTTTGAAAACATTCCAGTCTAAAACAAAATTCCAGACATTTTCAACATGAATATGTTTCCCATAAAAGCTTGACTTGATGTACTTTTATACTTCCTTACTACTTCCCACTTTAGAGGTTGAGGTTGTGCCAGTTGTGTTTATTATCATAACTTAAATGAACATAGCTCTGTAGCTATTTAGGCAAACAGTGCAGCTTATATCGATTCTGAATGTAGAGAATCTCAGCTTTTCGTTGATAGAAACAAATTTAATGGGCTAGGGTTGGGTGTGTCCGCATGTTTTAGTGGTTTTAGCTTTAGTGGTGTACATTTACAACTGTAAATAATACTGTATATTTGTTAAAAGTTATATCTCATTATTTTTTCCATACTTTATTAAGACTTGCACACAGAATTCAAGAATGAAAGTCTGGGGGTAAAACGTTTCAAAATTCCAGACTTTTTAAGACTTTTGGGATCTGTGCAAGCACCCTGCATTAGCTTGACCGTATCGTTCCTGCCTCCTAACTAGAGGGTTGCAGGATTGTGCCCTAATCAGTCTGTCGCATCCTTGAGGAAGACACTTTACCTGCCCTACCTGCTGGTGGTGGAAATCGGCGGTGTCGACTGTGTGTCATCCTCACCTCGGTCAGTGTAGCTCCTCACCACCAGTGTGTGAACATGAATGGGTGAAAGAGTGTTGATTTGTACAGCGCCTTGGGGATGGGTTGGGGTTTTTTAGATGGTGCTATATAAATATAGGCCATTTACAATTTACAAAATCATTTTTATTGTATTAAAAACGAGCTTAAAATGGGAAATTAACATTTTACTGCTGACGCTTTGTTGTTTTGTTGCCAACTGATTTTTTTTACATTAAAGAGCAAATTGCAGGTTAAATTTCTTTTCTAATTCATTTAAAATACTGCCCAAAAATACTATTTGAAATGCTTATTGTGGATATTTCATTTTAAAATGCATAACAGCAGAGTTTTTCCTAGTAAAAAGTGTCCTTTCTCATCAAAACTTCTAAAAAGGCTCTTTCTTCTAAATCTGAACCTCTGACGTAACCAAAGGCGGTTAGAAGCTAGGCGCTGCCTCAGCTCAGTGTGGAGAGTGGGTAGTTTTAGGGTAGAGAGGTCATGTTATCGAGTCAGTGTGTGTGTGTTTGCTGGTTATGGATTGTGTTCATTTTGATAAACTATAGTTTGTGCAGCTGAAAAGACAGACTTCTGTAGCCCACATCGGTCGGTACCGGGTCAGTATCTATCTATCTCTCTCTCTCGATATCACTCACTTTCTCTCTCTCTCGATATCACTCACTCGCTCACTCTCTCGATATCACTCACTCTCTCACTCTCTCGATATCACTCACTCTCACTATATCACTCACTCTCTCACTCTCTCGATATCACTCACTCTCACTCTCTCGATATCACTCACTCTCTCACTCACTCTCTCGATGTCACTCACTCTCTCGATATCACTCACTCTCTCGATATCACTCACTCTCACTCTCTCGATATCACTCACTCTCTCACTCTCTCGATATCACTCACTCTCTCACTCACTCTCTCGATATCACTCACTCTCACTCTCTCGATATCACTCACTCTCTCACTCTCTCGATATCACTCACTCTCTCACTCTCTCGATATCACTCACTCTCTCACTCACTCTCTCGATGCCACTCACTCTCTCGATATCACTCACTCTCTCACTCACTCTCTCGATATCACTCACTCTCTCACTCACTCTCTCGATATCACTCACTCTCACTCTCTCGATATCACTCACTCTCTCACTCTCTCGATATCACTCACTCTCTCACTCACTCTCTCGATGCCACTCACTCTCCCGATATCACTCACTCTCTCACTCACTCTCTCGATATCACTCACTCTCTCACTCACTCTCTCGATATCACTCACTCTCACTCTCTCGATATCACTCACTCTCTCGATATCACTCACTCTCTCGATATCACTCACTCTCTCGATATCACTCACTCTCACTCTCTCGATATCACTCACTCTCTCACTCTCTCGATATCACTCACTCTCTCACTCACTCTCTCGATGCCACTCACTCTCTCGATATCACTCACTCTCTCACTCACTCTCTCGATATCACTCACTCTCTCACTCACTCTCTCGATATCACTCACTCTCACTCTCTCGATATCACTCACTCTCTCGATATCACTCACTCTCTCGATATCACTCACTCTCTCGATATCACTCACCCTCTCGATATCACTCACTCTCTCACTCTCTTGATATCACTCACTCTCACTCTCTCGATATCACTCACTCTCTCACTCACTCTCTTGATCTCTCTCTCTCTCTCTCTCTCTCTCTCTATATATATATATATCACTCACTCTCTCACTCACTCACTCTCTCGATATCTCACTCTCTCTCTCCCTCTCTTCACTCTCTCGATATCTCAATATCTCCCTCTCTCTCTCCCTCTCTCCCCCCCTCTCCCTCTATTTAATTTTGTTTAAAAGAAAACACCAAAATTTGGATTTTCCAATTTTTAAATATATTTTTATCCACCACAGAACAATTACCAAATACAAGCCCCAACTTTAAAACCTCCGACACGACTGCCAACTACAAGGATTTACCTGAGGTTTCTTCATGATCTGGATGAAGTACATGTGATTCTTCATTGGGGAGATGATAATGAGCACGTCTCCAAAGTCAGTGGGAATGATGCCACGTCGGTAGTCCCTGGAGTGTTCAGACCACACGATGTGCACCTCATCATTGCCCAGGTGACGCAGCTGCCAAACAAACAAAATCGTCCTAATCAAGAGCCTAGCGAGTGCATGTCATGTTCACTGTAGTGGTAATGAAGGAAGACACCAGACTGGTATTATCAAGTCAGCCCTTTCGTCCCTCATTACCTCTGAAGGAAGGTAACTGAGTAAAGGTGTCCCAAAAGCAGGACATGGTTCATGGTTTCATGGAGGCGATGCAAGAGCAAAGTGCTCGTTTGCAGATAAACTTATTTTTGTCCTCAAGCGTACAAGTCCTGGTTTTGTTTCTTTTTATAGTTTTTTTTATTACATATTCAAAAAGCAAACACAAAATAAACAAAAATTGAGCATTTTAAAAGTAATTCAAATCCAATTAGCCAGAGCCCATCACATCAGAGTTTAAATTGCTTCCCATTTCCACTCTATTCATAAACACAAATGAAACTGGACAGGACAAGAAGATGCACTTAAACAGCAGGAAATGGGCTGATGCTACTTTAGAAGAGGCAAAACAGGTGTACCCTATTTGAAAGCAAACAGATTAACAGTCCTTGGCAAGTGAAGATCATCTATTAGCTGGTAGACCAGTGATGTTGAACAAGCAACTAATTTCTAGTGTATCATGGACACTGAAAAGTGAGCCTCTACTCTGAAGAAAACATCTGCCAATGTACTGTTGGCCTAATGAGCCATTAAGAAACATGCCCTCGCCAACAAAAAATGCAATTAGCACATTCTATTATAAGCCCTTAATTATGGTAATACGGTAATCTTAAACAAATCCACGGCATGCTGATTACTGAGGCTCGCCAGTTCAGTGTGTCTGTCCAAGGATCAGCAGGTACCTAACAGGTCAGTCACTGGGACAATTTCAGAGAAAATGTTGAATATGCATTTGCAGCAGACAATTAACACTGGGATGTTAATTTGGGTTAAGATATTAGCATTTGGAGGAGCTGAATGACAAGTTTAATGAGGATGCTTATGCTCAAGTCAATCATCTTCTGCACGGATCCATTTTATCCCCCTGTTAATCACATCAAAATGTTTGAGACTTCTTTAATAAAATGTGATTCAAGTCAAAGGCTCTTGTCCAATTATCCCTCTTTGACCTCCCATCCAGCCAGTGGGCTCCACACACACTGAAATAAGAGGACTCCAGAACAAAAGAGACTCCTTATAAAAACAACCTGCAGCAGCCCAGTTAAGCTGTAGTGCCTGAGGGTGAGTGTGATAGCTAAGGCACCCGTCTACCTCCTTCCCTTTCACACACAGGCGCATAAGTCTACATGGCCTGACCCCCCCAACCCCGCAGGTCGCTTCCATAACCCCATTACTGAAGCCAGCTGCCACTGCTGCAGCTTGCTTTGGTCCCAAAAATCCAAAATTCGATTCAGGAATTTGTGTTTCCCTCCTTTCATCATCTTTAAAACAGCCAGTCTGCGCAGCGAGAGCTGCCCCGTCCATCTCCCCCTCGCGGTACGCTTCTATGGTTACAAGCCATAAAGTGGGTGACTGCTGGACTAAGTGTTATTTTTAAATTGACAGAGAAACATCCTACTTAGACAAAGACAAAGCCTGCCTCATTCCAATTCTTCATACCATTTCCCCCCTGGGCTCGTTTTGTAAAGCATTTGCAGCCAGCCACCCAATTTTTGTCAGACTTGTGGCTGGTGTGGGGATCCGAGCAAGGTGAGCCTGAGCAATTACAGAACTTTCTGGTGAAATGTATGGAAGTGGAGTGGCACCACACGCTTCCTCCGAGCACAGGCACCCTCCAGCGTCTCACTCTGGTCACGTTCAGCCAAACTCTTTCCACAAACGACATTTTGTGGGTTTTGAAGCAGATTCAGGACGGGTTTGGAACGAGTAGTGCACTTTTTTTTTTTTAACCGAGAGGGAGAAAGTCTGTCGAGGTTAGTACAGTGGTTGGATATAAGAGAGACTGATGAATTTCCCCTCCCAGCAGGGTATTGTATGAGAAGATTGGCAGCGCGAGCAGGGGCCTTGCGGCTCATTTCTTCGTGCTAACTGCTACTACTGCACTAGCGCTTAGAATCCCACTGCAGAACCCAATCGATTGCTCCTGTGGCGGCAGCAGGAATTGGATAAAAGGATCCTGCCGGCATCCGGCCGGCGCCTGCCCTAGCAGGGAGAGCTAATGGCTGAATCCAGGCCCTGGTCACAGCACACAGGGAGGGGAGCAAGGGCTGGAAGAATCATAGTCATTACCACAGCAGCACATGCCCTCTCTTCACTCACGCGCCTGCGATTCTCCACTCCTCAGGCCTTCCTGACAAGGGTCACTAATCAATGCCCGTACTCTGGAGTCACACCTCCTGATCACAGCTTAACAGAGCCGAAGGCTACACAACACACTGCTCAGGGCAGGCATGGCTGTGTAGCCATTTCACGGCATCCCATGTGTAAAATAGCACCTACGTTGGTCACTATCTACTAAGCATTTGGGTTTGCATTTACTTTAATGAGAATTATTCACAGACAAGTGAAACACTTAAAAATGAGGGTTTATTTTTACCTTTTTGGTAAGGCTATCATCGGAACCAGATGGCATACGTGTGGACACGTGGAAAATGACTTCCACTGTGGAGGTAGCATAGTAAGGAGCGGTTAGGCCCGTGCTGCCATTCCTCTGGAGACCTCCCATAAAGCCACAGTGAGTGGCCAGGTCAACCTGAAGGACAAAGATTACCGCACAGTTTAGCATTTTATGAGTGGAAATGAGTGTATTTCTACCCAGACTGGGCATAAAGTTGATTTAAGGGTATTAGGGGTGCAACGGTATGCCGAAAATCCCGGTTTTGGTGGGACTTTGGCTTTAATGTCACGTTTCGGCTCATTTTCAGTACGGTGAGGGATCAGAGTGAAGAAAAGGTTTTTTGTATAACGGGTCCAGCTTTGTTAACATTTAAAATTAAACTTCGCTTGCAGTAAATTCTCCAACAAAATATCCTCAGTTAACATACAAATGTATGCAATAAAATATTCAAAACCTTTAACAGTTCAAGTATTTTCATTTAAGGAAACATCAACACTACTGCAACTGAAAGAACAGACTACTGAAAAAGAGAAGTAGTGTCCATCTTTAGGAAATTAATTCTTTTTTCCTTAACCCTTTGATGCATAATGGTCACTACAGTGGACAGGTACTCAGAATTGTTATTTATTTTTACTATTAAGCACAGTTGTTGAAGACTTTATTGCATTTGAGCCCCTCCATTTGGACTATAAGTCAAACCAACATATTTCATGTTCAGAATGCACGCTGTCCACTGAGGTGGACATGTAGTAAATAATTTGTAAATTAAATGTTACAAAAATATGTAAATATGAAATTTGTTTCATTCACAGCTAAAGATGAATGAAAAAAATGGTAAAAAAATCATGGTTGAATATTTCATAATTCATGCATCAAAGGGTTAAGTGCATCATTGAGAGTTCCAGCTTGTAGCCTTGTTCAGGTTCGTTCAACCTTCAGTTGTCACACACACTGATGTGTGTGCGAAATTTGTTCTCCGCATTTGACCCATCCCCTGGGGGAGCGGTGAGCTGCAGACACAGCCGTGCTCGGGAACCATTTGGTGGTTTAACCCCCCAATCCAACCCTTAATGCTGAGTGTCATGCAGGGAGGCATTGGGTCCCATTTTTCATAGTCTTTGGTATGACCCGACCAGGAATCGAACCCTGATCTCCCAGGCTCAGGGTGGACACTATCACTAGGCCACTGAGCTGGTTCTATTGATGTAAAGTTGAGTTTAACTTCAGTTTATGCACTGTCGTGGTTGCTCAGCAACAGTGCATAAACTGAGGTAAAGGTGGGAATAATCTTAAGACTGGACCTTCCAATTTCACTGCCGTTCACTACCATTGTTCCTGGTCAACGAAGGACCCGATGCTTGGTACCTACACCAGCTTACGTCAACCGGGTAGTTTGGGTCCTTTGAAGGATGCAGCCCCTGAATTTGGACACGGCTGCATGTGTTGCTGGCTTAAGTGCAGTGACACACCCGTGTAGGATCTCAGTCCGTCTCTGCCCCGCACCGAAAAATCCGAACAGGTACCGTTACACCCCCACAAGGTATTACTGTTTGCACCTCCCATCCAACTCCAGAAACAAAGTCTTCAAAGGCCTGGCTGCCTGCAGTGTTGGACAAGATGGAGCACTTGTCTTCCTGACCTTCTCTGATGTAGAATACAGCAATCTTGTGCGTCTCCCGGCTACAAAAATAAATCACAAAATTGAGGGAAAGAAAAACAGAAAATAAGGGAACAAAAACAATGAAAGAGCTAATTTAGCAAATGTGGCAGAACTTGAAAAGCTTGATGCTGTTTAAATCTTTCTAAACTAAATTCCTTTGACGTGAAGATCCACATATTCCAAACCCCACACCTGCCAAAAAAGATAAGCTGTGTGGTTAGGAACAATTAAGTTGCTGAATAAAAATCAGAAGCAGGGGGATAAAAAACACACATCTGCCAAATTTCTTCACTATTTTGTCAGCTTTAACATGCTTTTTGAAAAGAAGGCAGCAAAGTCTCCTCATCTATTCCCCTTGTTGCCATGGCAGTGCACGGTGTCGGGGTAGGTTTTGGGCACTTTGCATGCTTCTGCAAAGATTGTTATTATTGTCCAGCAAAGTCCGTCTGTCCGAAAAAATAACAGTTCCATCCCAAGAGGAATTCTTTAATAGGTTCTTGTCATTGGTGGCATGAGATGAAATTATTGATTAGAAGAGGGGAAAACAGAAAGAGGACGACAAGAGCGATGGCAGGTGGTTTTCAGGGTTGTGGTTAAAAGAGTCTGGCATGAAGAAAATGACGGGGTTAGAAGAGAGGAATCACGCGCTGTTTGAAGAAGCTTTCACCTGGGCTCAAACAGGTGTGTCAGAAAACTGTTACTGAATTACAGGCAATTGTGTGTTCACTGGTATCTCAGACAGACGTGATGCAAAGCCTCGTTTTCACTGGGCACAAGGAAAAAAAAACCTTACCACTGCCTTGAGTCCAAGTTCTTCAGCTCTCTTAAAAGTTTAGAGTTTTTCTTCAGCAAATGGAAGTTTTTCCTGCATAAAAACAATCATCAGATAAGAAATTTTAAACACTGTGGAGAAACAATTCAGGTGTCTGTAAACCCACGGCGGGATAATGATCTGCCTGAAGTTTTCATACGGTTTTGATTACCAAAAGCAAAGCAGGCACAGGTGCAAAACCCAATCTCCTAGTTGAGGTGTGTGTGTGTGTATGTGTGTTTTATTAAGAGGTGTAAGCTTTTAATTTACAGGGCACAGCCGCAAAGATGTGGCTTTGGAGACCTTAGTGAAAACAGCTGGGCACTTTTACCCCGTTGAGAGGAGATTAGGACACCGCAGACTCCAATGTGCCTTCAGTTCGCCTCTCTTTAACTTACAAGCAAGCGGCTGAGTTACAATGAAGCTTTAAATGGGCGAAAGTTTTAGATTTTTTATTAAGCAGCAGAAAAAGAGATCACCAAAATAAAATCTGGTCTTCCGTAAAACACAAAGGAGATCCAGTAAGAAAAAAGACCCAATATTTAATTTATGTCAACTGTATAAAACACATAATTAGTCCCGTTTCCACTATCACAACTTCCGGGTAATTTTACCGGATCGTAGGCTGGGCAACAAATCGAACATTTATCATTATCAACATTTCTGACGCTTATCGAGATCGTTATTCCCATGTCAATAAATTAGATAATAAAAAAATGAAAAGATGTGTGTAGGTTAGCAACGTTCATGTCACTTTAACTAATTTGCTGCCAGCTGTTTCCTGATCGGTAAAGCCCTTTGCTGCCAGCGTTTCTCACCATTTTTACTGTTTTTTTTAAGAGTCACAGAACGTTGCGCGCTAGAATGATGTCGACGCCAAAACAACCAAAACAGAGTGGAGACTCACCTCTTACATCAGGAAGAATCCGCACGTTTTGAGCGTTATCCGTTCTTTCATAATCCGTTGTCGAATTGTGATCGGCAGAAGCTTTTCCGGTTCGCTCCTCACTTTTTTTTTACAGCAGTGGCCCAAAACGATCTCCTAACACATGGATTTTCTGCTTCCTGATCACGTGACGTGTGACATACGTAGAGGAAGATCGGCTTTAGAGCTGAGATGTTTGTTCTCAAGGTGCGGGGGCTCGTTCTGATGCCCACACAGTAAAAAAATGCAGTGAATGAGTTAAGAAGCGGTACCACCTTGAGTCACGTAAAAATGTGACTCAGCGTAATCCATGCAACAGCTCCATCTAGAGGACTACTTTTGTTTCTGCACATACCGGTAGTTATCGTCCATTTATCGTTATCGAGGTGAAATCCTCAATAAATCGTGATATTGATTTAAGGCCATATCTCCCAGCCCTACCGGATTGTTACATTTTGTCTCCACTTCACAAGGTCTGCACAAACAGATCACTTTCCGAGCTACTTCTGGGACCAACCGAGTAGCTTTACAGGGGTATGTACTCAGGAATGGCCCACTAGGGTCAATGGGCAGAACTTGTGGTTAATTCATGCTGACTGGTTGTAAATCAGTAGAAAATAACTTTAGCAGATACTGACAACCAGCATTTGTAAAACTGGAAGAATTGGTGGTAAAACTGAATAAAAGGAAAAGCAGCATTTACGCTCCTTTAAAATCTGTGTTTCCAAACTCCCAAAGATGAAAACATGAGTTGTATGCGAGTTATTACAGCTTTGTGGTCTCTGGTCTTTGAACGCCACCTTTTAAGTCACACAGCCGCTCTCCTCATCCCCTGAATGGATTAAATTATGGCATACGGTACTTTGAAAGAATACCATAATGTTAATAATGTTGGATTTTGGTTCTAATCAGTGATGTCTTTCACTGCCGAATTGGTTGCAATATGCTGACGTCTTAGCAAAGTCTTGAAAGGGCCGATTTCGTATGGCTACACAATGGCTGAGAGGACCAAGCCATCGTATTTTCCTTGTCAGCTTCCCCATCTCAGAAATTTCCCAGAACTCTTATAATGGAAACGCATCTAATCTTTGCATTTGATGTTTTCTCGAATTTAATTCACAGCAGATAAAGAATCTGAAAGTCCAGGATGTTGGTGCACTTTTAGGATTTAGTTTGCAAACCCAATAGACCCCTTTTTAAAGCTTACTTTGTTACATCTCTTTTCTTTCAAATCTAAAGGCAAATTTTTCATTATGGTTGCTGCAATTTTCAGTTACTAGTAATACCTGCGATCCCAAGAGTTCATGCCAAGATCGTTGAGCAGCAGCCGGCAGAAGTAGAATGGAGCTTGTGGTTCCTGGTAGGAGGGTTCCCTTTGGCAGGCAGCCCGAAAGCTTACATCAGCATCCCACTTCCTCACTTGTTCCTCTTCCTGGTGAGTTTGACGGAGAATGGCCTCCAGTATGGTGCTCTCTTGTTCTAAGTTCATGCCGTGAGGTGAGGGTGCTGGTTGATTGAGCTTGAGTCGTGGCTGAGAGAGGCATTCTGGGCTGCTGTGGCTAAGGTCCTCCAGCAGCTTATCCAGATCATCAATCTTTTCGTCTTCGGAACAGTTAGAGAGGGAGTCAGAGTAATGGAATTTGTGTGGTCCTTTTGTTGGAGAGGCGGGCTGGTTTCTGCCAAGTGTGCTAAAAGCTTTAGAAATAGGTGACTCGACAGCATCAAAGACCCCCGCATCGTCAAAGTCTTCCTGTGTGGTGCAGTATAGGATTGTGCCATCCCAGGAATACTTGCCCGAGATGTCCCGGACAATGACGCGAACTTGTGAGGAAGGGTGCGGGGGTTGACCGACAGTGGGTGTCTCAGCAGGGATCTGTAGGTAGGACACCAACGTGCTATCGTTGAAGACAAACAGCTGTAGGTTGGGGCTTTTAAAGACCTCAGAGGACAGCTCAGACGACTCCACGTAGGGGTTGTCGTGGTTTTCGCTCACAAGGCTGTACAGAAGAGCGGGACCACCACTCAGAGGATGGTGGCCAAGATGGTTCACCAGGTGAGTCATGACCATCCGCGCCGTCAGAGGTATCAGCTCCATGTTTCGACGACGCTTTTCTGGCAGGATCAAAAGATACACAAAACAGTGAAACAAAACTGGGATTCAGAAGACAGCAGCACATGCAAAGCCTTTGATATCACACTCGGTGCACAATTTGCCAAACATCTTTTAAAAGCCTTTCATTTGTGTGTAGACATGCCATCATCTCGATCAGCTCTTTTTAAGCAAAGCCAAATCTTTCTCATAAGTATTAATAGGGGTGGTTCATTTATTTTTCACAATAGCTTGGCCAGCACACCTCTAAGTAGGTAGCATCTAATCATAAGAGACAACTTTGAAAAGCCCATTGAGCGTTCTTACAATGGATCAGTTCTGGGTTCTGAGACTGGCCAAGTGCTAATGAGGACGACCATCTTTGCAGGCTGCTGAATAGGACACTGCTCGGTGGATTGCATTTATGTAAATGTACAGGTTTTCATTCCCAAGTGAAAGGCATGCAGAGCTTTATTCTGCAGTGATGCGGGGAAAAACAAGAAGATGCACTTTTGCATTGTGACAGTGCTATCAATACCATCATCCCCCCATCAAAGTAGAGAAAGCTCTTTAGAGAGCAGGCCAAGCTGCATTAGAGAAGCGCTGGCCCTTTGATGTGACTTGATCAATATGAGGTGAGGGCATGAATATAACTAGGCCGGCACGCTTTGGTTTGCCCTTTTGATAGTGTTTTGTTATTTCTGCTAAGACTCTGTGCAGCAGTGCACCATGAAAAACAAAAAATGCAGAGGTGTGCATGGTGACATTTTCAAGACAAGAAGCTTCAGTTTAAATATCTGCACCGTTTCAGCAGATGTTTGTGGTCCGCTTTGGTCTGTTATGCGTTTTAGAAGATAAGGACACCGGAAGGGACTTTATTGACTAATGGAATCACAAGGCCGAAAACAGAAAAAAAAGAATCAACATTTTTTAATACTCCATAATGGGCTCTCTCTTTACGACTGACCACTAATGCAAAAATTCCATTTCCCATGATGGCTGATTTTCTTTTCATACTTTTAATGAGATATTGACATCTAATGGAGCGGCTCCAAATGGACAGGCTACTTAAGTTTGCTTTTACCTGTAACCTTTTTGGGATTTTGCTGTTTTTTTTTTTTTTTTAATATATGTGAGGGCAGTGGGGTGGGGATAATGACCATGGTGATCATCTGGATTTGATGCAGTTAAAAGTCTCATTATTACTAATACTTAAAAAAATTTTTTTATTTGATTGGTCACGCTGCATTTTATATGCATTCTGAACGTAAAAATTATCTTCAATCCTTATTACTTGCATCAGTCACAGAAAGGTAATAGACAGGAAATGGTCGGATTGGAAAAAGACAGTTTTTCGGACGTCTCAATGAAAATTTATATACATGGCCCCACCCACCTTGGTTTGGCTTGCAGCTGCTTCTCGGCTAGTAGAAGCTAACCATTTGCAACTCCACGACATAACAGAACTTGTTCAGGCTAGTCGTATTAGTGAAGATAATGTTTTATCCGGAAAAAAAAAAAGTTTCACTGTATTCTGAGTTTTGTTAACGAAGACAGAAAAAGGGTTGTGTTGCTGTTAGCCAATCAGAGGTGAGACATTTGCATACTATTAATATTAATGAGACAAACTCATAATCTGCCGACCCACTCCTCCGATAAATTTCTAGCCATGAAACAGGAGCACAAGAGCATATTTTCTACAGAAAACTGCCCACAAAACATTCACTCTTAAAGACCACAGCAAATTATGAAAAACACGAGCGAATTAGACCTTTAATTACTGGAACAACTACCACACAAACCAACACATCGGTCTTGTAGACGGAAAATGACTGGGTGTCCTTACCTTCAGCTACAGTGAGAAGATTGCTAATATCGGAGGGGGTCTGTGATGGCGGTGTCTCACAGTTCTTAACCTGACCTAACATTAGGTCATAGTCACTAGACAAATCAGACAAATTGAGGAGATAGTGGCTTTGTTGTGTGTGCAGGTTAGAGCCAGACACACAGCAATGCAGCACCTGAGAAACAGAAGAAGATTATTATTAATTAAATGAAAAGCGCAACATTTTGTGGAATTTTGATGAACTTATGTGCAAAACAGGGCAAAAACCCCACAGAGATGTTCCTGCAGAACTGCTTTAGCAAGACAAGCTTCTGGATCACATGGTCTATTTACATCATAAGGCAAAAGTGGAAAGGACAGGGGGTGGGGGGGTGCTTTATTGCCACTAATCCATTTCTCCTGTGATGTGTGAGTGTATCGATCTACATAACAGATGGCAGAGCATCCGTTGGCAGTGCTAGATAAGGCGCACTGGGGCAGTTGATTACAGCCATTGGACAGGTTTACACTGTTTGATTTAATTAAGACATTATCCTTGAGCTCAGCTCTCGCCACAAACATAAATGCTTCCCCAAAATAAACACCTGTATCATGTAAAACCTTAGTGGAGATACAAACGCGTACGGGGCGGGGGATAGAAGCCAAATGTATGTAGATGAGGGTGCATCTCATTCTGACTGAAGCAACTTGGGTAAAGCCATGCAAAGGCTAATCCCATTCAGTACAGGCGCATACACACACTTGGCTGGCTGGTCATGTGAAACAGTATTGTGTAGGGCAATGTAGACAGTATGTGGATGCTTCAGCCAAGCAGCCCTCTGAGTGCGCGGGGGGTGGGGGGTGGATTGGCGGATTGATGCTGAAAAGACCTGAACCAAACAGCTGCTACACCAAAGCCCCAAAGAGCTTCCTCGGTGGAGAGGTAAGGAGGGAGGGGAGGGGAACCCACGGCTGCGCCTGACATGTGACTGGCCCTCGCATAGCAACAGTTGCTGGAAAGTAACGCAGTAAAACAAGCGTAGTATTTTAATATTGGTGAAGCCTGTCGGTACACTTTGTACACATAAATCAAATCAAATAAAAACAGAGAGACTGTGGATGTGATATTCCTGCTGCCTCTCTCCTCCACACACACACACACACACACACACTTGGTAGGGGGGTGGGGTGGGGGTGCAGCTGGCTGCTGAGGCAGAAGGAGAGATGAGATGGAGAAGCATAAGCGCAACCCTAATGAACAACATTGCGTTGTTAAGCCACGTCGCAGCTCAACAGTTAGTGGACACAACTTTTAGCGCTTTTCTTCTGCTTGTCAGAAAATCCTATTTTTTAAAAGGTTTTAGAAAAATTTAAGAACTGGTAAGGGGGGGGGGGGGTGAAAGGCTGCGTCAGTGACACTAGCCTATAATGGAATTAAGATGCGTTGTTTCCTATAAGAGGGGCTATTCTCTGCTTCGTAAACAGAATAATTAGAAGCCAATGTGCCAATAGAAACGTGGAGATTTCCTGATATTGCATTAATATTGTCACACCTCAGATGGAACCCAGAAGGTCCGTGGCTTTTGTGTGCCGATAGACAACCAATCATGCCTAATTGTATTTGCTTTCATAGCAGCTGCAGTCTCTCTCATATTAAGACATATTCCATTCAAATCTCCAGGACAAGCGTTCAGAGCCTGAGCTTATCAACTGGACAAAAGGTCCTGTTTGAATAATTGGACCATTTCTTATCAGGGGTGACATCCTTACAAAGATCTGCCGTTGACCGCATCTGCCCAGACAGGAGGGAATGAATAATACCTCATTCATTTGTGCCTGAAGCCTGGCCCTCGTCCTCAGGGTCGGACCATAAATTAAAAAGTTAGAGGGGACGAAAACAGATACGTAGATTTAATAATGAAGATTTTAAACAACCAACTTAATACAAGAGAGGGGTTGTTCAGGTTTTCTACGTATAACAATGATGACGTACTTCAGCCACACCGAGTGCCTCTATATAGTTATTTCACAATAATGTTAAATGAGGCATAGTCACAGGGTCACGGTGGAGGTGAGCCTAATTAAAGCTGCAATCCCATGTGGCAGGATGAGTGGGTGGGGGTGGTGATAGCTCAAGTTGTTGTGTCTAGTGGCGACGGTACAGAATGTTCCAGAAAACATAAATCAAATCAATATCTTTAGTTGTGCGGAGTGATTCAGTGTTGCCAATACCCACCCTGTAGATGTAATCCAACAGCGGGGCCTTGTGGGATGTGTGGTGCTCCTGTGATGACATGGTGACGGGTTCTAGCAGCAGGCTCAGGGGAACAGCCATACACCAGTCCAACAGGCAGAGCAGCAGTGACACCATTAACTTAAAGTGGAAGAAAAGATTTGAGAGGTTCCTTCTATCAGTCGAGTCAACCAACATCAAAACAAATACACACCATCAATACAGAATATAAAAAGAGATGAAAAGTGAAGGAAGAGAAAAAAAGAGGAAGAGAATAAATCACATCAGTAGAAACATTCCTCTGCAAATGCCCCAGTCTGACGTGATAGACCAAGGGTCTTTAGATCTCAGACATATCATGTCCCCTCACTGTCCAATATGTACCTTTTTGTCTGCCTCCACCGTTGAGTGCTCGGCGCTTGGCAACAAAAAGACTATTGTGGCCACAAAGATCTGTGTTGGGACAAAATGGGGAAGAAAAATAGTGGCATGAGAGAGAGAGTCCTAAACCAATTCAGAGATGTGTTCAAAACTGAAACAGTGGAATTAGAGAAGGTGGGGTGGGTGATCCCGGAAAAGGCTGTTCAAGCAAGCTACATTTAGAAAAGACACAATTCAAAAGTCCAGCTCACGTTATTCAGACTCCCAACCCCTAAGCCTTCAGAATACAGGAGAATGCCAAACCCAATGGGTACGGTCCAACAACTGTAAAAATGTCCGATTCTCATCAGTCTGCAGCCCTAACTGTCTCCTCGTCTGACGTACAAAAGCAGGACCGATGTAGCTGAGAATCTAAACCATCATTTGCCGAAGCAAAATAATTTAGCTTTGCATGTTGGTAACTTCACTGGAACATGCATGGCCGGTTTCCCGGCCAGTATTGTGGCTGGGCAATCTGAGCACATTTATTTAAAAAAAATTGTTTTCGTCTTCTTCCCTGCTTCTTTTATGA